GAGTGGGGAATTCCAAGGTATAAGCCAAGAATTCCCATTTCAAATCCTCAGAACCCACAGAAAAAGCTGAACGTGATGGTATGTGCCTGTGACTCCAGTATTATGGGGAGAGGAACAGAAAGGATCACTGGGGCTTGTTGGCTTAGCCCAGATTCAGTGAGAGACCCTGACTCAAGAGACTCGTGGAGAGAATATTGGTAATGTGTATATTTGTAGAATAAATGAAATTGTGACCATTTTACAAATAAGTCCAATGTCTAGTAAACATAAGTTGCTGAAGAAAATTTAAGAAGTGGACATTAGGGAAACTGTTAATAATGTAGAAGGATTTAGGGGATGCCTCATGGGTCTACATTAAAAAAAAAGAGGACAAGAGGCAGAAGACATGAGTCTGTAGACAAAGTGTTTACTGGTCAGGCATGGTAATTTGAGTTCAGATCTTTAACATCATTAATAAAAAGCTGGGGGTGGTGGTAGCGTGTACCTATAAAATTAGTGCTGTGTTAGAGAAGACAAGGGGATCTCTGGATCTTGGTAGCCAAGCAGTGTAACAAATCAATGAGCTTCAGGTTCAGTGAGAGATCCCATCTGAAAAAAGAAGGTGAAGAGCAGTTGAGAAAGTCACCCAATGTCAACCTCTAGCCAGGCTATTCCACCCTCGTGCATATATTCATAAATGCACATGCACACAGAGATGCATGCTAAATAAATGAACAAAATGAAAGGCAATGCCTCAATCTAGCTACCAACACCTCAACTGTACTTATCAAAATTTGTATATTACAGGACCATTACACTTAAAAAATGAGGCGCGTCAGGCAGTTTGTTTTTCAATTAGCAGTCTGTTGTAGGAGATAAAAGAATTTCTGCTATACATGTAAATCTGATGATGCTAAAGTCTGTGTGGAACAGAGTGTGAGATACCAGTTTTTATTAAGAGAAGAAAATGAAAAGAGGATGGTCACATACTGGAGCTGGACCTCAATATTAAAAAACAGATTTTTTAAAAGTATTTTGCCCTTTTATGATTATTTAGGCAAAAAAAAAAAACCCAACAATTACATTTTTTGGTTAAGTGTTCCTTAACTGCATTATTAGATTTAACATTCTTGGCAAAGATTGCCAATGGAAAGTATTTTATTATCTGATTTGGCTCATTTTATAATTACAAGTAGTCAGAAACAATAGGATATGTTTTCAGAGGACTTATTTTAGGTTCAGGAGATAACCAGATGGGTGGGATATCATAGAAATGATATGGAGATCATAATGCTGTCAGTCCATGGCTCTGTTTTGAAGACTCCATAGCATAGGAAGCTAGAAACTTAAAGTAGACTGTAAATTATCACCCTGGAAACTTGATTCTGGTGTCGGTGAGGAAAGCGTTCTTTGGGGTAGAAAATTTCAAATGGTCCTTTCTGTACCACACTGTGATTTCACTTATACATCAGTAGGAAGGAACATGGGAAGCAGCAGCAGCACCCACCCACCGTCAAGTCAGGATTAGAGGAAGTGCTGAACCCGCTTTTAAATTAAGATTTCCTCACAGGCCAATCACCATTGTTGTCAAGCACACTACTCTGATAAAAGGTGCAGAGAACTACCAGTTTAGCAGTATTTTTGAGTGCTGTCTCTTGTCAGACCACTCTATTAAAACAGCATCACGAAGCATATACTATATGACAAAAGCAGAGTCCAGGAGTGGACCGCATGGGTACTGGGTGTTACATATGAATTAGTTGAAGAGAGAAAAGTAGTTCGTTGTCCACAGAGGATGTCAGTAAAACACACCTAATAAAATGCCTTCCCTTATCACAGTTTAAAATATTACCCAACTTTAAACGTCACTCCTCTTGGACTACCAGACTTATCTTGCCAAATTCCTGTGTGAATGTGAAGTCAGTGGAGTTCTATTATTCACTCCTTGACATTTGCTGACTTATACCTTTGACAAATGAATGTTATGTTAGGGGTGGCTCTTGCTAATTGGCAAGGACTGATTGTGCCTGAGCTCATGCTGAGTTCTTGAAATTGGCAAAGGTAGAAGTATTTTCACCAGGAAGTTGTTATACACCCAAATCAGGCTTATTTTCTAGTCACCTTTGTCTTCCTCCCAAAGTCAGAGATCAAACAAATTTAATTTTTTTTTTCTGCCATGGATTTTGTTTTGTTCTACATTTACTAAGCTCCTTCTAGAAAATGTTTTTAAGACTCAGTGACATTATTAAAACGTTAAAGAACAAGTTTATGACACAATTACATATAGCTTCTCTTCTGGCATTTGAAATGAAGTGATTTAATAGCAGGTCTGCTCTTAATTGTAGGTGACAACTAGCATAAACTCTATTCTGAGATATGCTCTACACTCTAACATGGTATAAAAATATCTGTGACTTCTCTTGGAGACAGAGCTATCAGTAGGCTGAATGCTGCTGTGGTTTGTTAGCTATATTTATGACTGAAGAAAAGCTACATCCCAGCTAGGTTATGGAAAAACTGCATGTATATTCTGTCTCCCACCCAAGGCCACGCTTCTCAGACTTCACACTTCAGCTGCAGAGTTCTGTGGAACACTCTACTCCAAGATAAGAATTCTTGCTTTCGGAATCCTGTTTCATGTTTGTCAGCAACAGTGTAAGCCATATGTCCCTTATAGAAAATATCCTCTATCCCCAAATTATAGGCTGGAAGATGACTTCTCTAGAAAACATGGATTTTAAAATGCTAACTAATACGGCCCAAATTTACAGATCGTGATTCTGTTTCTAAATAAAACAATAACTTGTTTCATCGAGTTAGTGTTTTATTTAGATAATACTTCCTTAATAATTTTTAAGTTTTAGCTTGAAGTCTTTGTTCTCTGTGTGTGTGTCTTTCTCTCTGTATCTCTCTTTTCTCTCTCTTTCTCTCTCTCTCTTTGCAGTACACACGCATATGTGGAGCCCAGGAGACGACCTGTCCTATCATTCTCTACCTTATTCCTTTGAGACAAGGTAATTTACTGAACCTGGAGCTATGATGGTGGCCAACAAGCCCCAGTGATCCTCCTGTATGCTCCCCTACAGTGCTAAGGTTACAAGCACACACAGCTCAAGCCTTCATGCTTATGTAGGAAGTGCTCTTATGTGCTGAGCCATCTGAGCCATCTCCCTAACTCCTTGAATGCTGGATCTGGGATCTTCTCTCTGTTATCTGTTCACATATCTGTTTTGTTTTGATACCCAGATGGAAAGCACAGACTAAATGTCACCCTCCTCTGCAGCTTTCTGTGGCTATTCTAGCCCGCTTTGATCTCTCCATTGTCCAGATGCCTCTTGCAGAACTGCTGCTGCATTCCTCGGGTCGCCACATGCTTGTTCTCCTACTGAAAAGCAGCAGATTTACATTCTTTCTCAGCTCCCTCTTACCATCCTTCCCTCTCTTAAACCTGATTTTCTTTTTTCACTCCGTTCACATTGTAATCCACTTTCACTTTAGCCCATTACAGAGAACTCCCTACAGGTTTTTCTAAGTTCAGACTTGCCCTCCATTTCCTTTTATGCTTTGCTTCCTTCAAGACACAGATATGAACATTTCTCTCCTCTGCCTCTGTCTGTCTCTCTTTCTCTCCCTTTCTCTCTCTCTCTGTCTGAGGATGTGTGTGTCTAATTCACTCACTCACGTTGTATGAATAAAAATGACTTTGAAGTAGTTTCATGATACATTTTCATCCTTTCCAATAGAATGCTAAAGTCATGATAAAAGGTTCACAGTGTGCCCAGAAATTCTCACCCAGTACCTTTGACTCTGTCCTCTTGTCCTCAGTACCCTCTTCCAAGCTCTGTTTCTTATAGGTCTATCTTACATTGCAGAGATCTGTTTAGTTCTTACTTCTTGCAGAACAAATACCTGAGATGAGTCTGCCAATGCCTGAATGAGCTCCCAAGACTACTGTTCTCACTGAACTATAAGTGTTAACTAACTAGCTTTATTTAATCTGTAAGCCTTAGAATAGAATGGAGGAAAGGTTATCTATCCTGAAGACACCCATCCTCTTGAGTGCTTAGAATGCATCCACCCTCCAGAGGGTTAAGAAGCAAACATTGTTCAGTATTCAATAAGATGCTATCAGACTCATCCAGTTTCCAGATGAATTCTTCTCTGACGATTGCATGTGATTACATTTGGTTGACCCCAAGAACATTTTGAATTATTTAGATGCAAGGAATCTGAATTGCACATATTTGAATTTTTCTCTAGTACTTGAAAGTTGGAGATGCTTAGTAAATTCTTGTTGAAATGAATTATTGATGACATTTGATCATTTTCCTAGGTCTGTTTGCTTTTTATGAGGTTTGTATTTCACACAGGAGAACATTCTTATGAACATGTAATTCCAAGGGCTTTTAAAATTCCATGGAACCATTTGGTCATGGCACTAAGTGTTAGGATTTTGGAACAAAACCTGCTTCTGGGTTGCCTAGCAACTTATGATGTCATCATGTGTCACCGGCCAGGGCCACACCTGGAAGGCGTGGTTAGCTTGCCCCTTAAAGGGACAACCCTACAAGTGGTCTCTCTCTCTTGGTCCTTTCTCTATGGGGCGCCCCCTCTCTCTTCCCTTTCTCTCTCTTTCCCTCTCTCTCTCTTTTCCCCCATCATGTCCTGCTCTCCCTTCTCTGTCTTACCATATCCACCTAATGAACCTGTTTTATATATAAGATCTGTAATACTCCTAATCATCTTTATTCAATTTTGTCCCATAACCTTACACTAAGAGTATAAATAAAAACATGATGCAGGATTCACTTCCCTGCTATTTTCTAATGGAAGACCAATACATTTTAGCTTTTTATAATAGCAAATGTAAACAACCCACACATTCAAGGGGATTTCCTAAGTCTGTTATTTCTGAAATGAAACAAACATTATGGTTCTAAGTATTTGACCAAAAGAATGATCATTGGTATTGTTATATACCATAACAGTTACTAAAGCTACGGGGTCATCTTTTGTTGTAGGGCCTGATGATGCTCAACAAAAGATAGAACCCCATTATACAGCAGTGGTTGGAGAAGGTGACAGTGTCCAAGTGGAAAATAAGATATTTTTAATTTTCTTTCTTCACACACGAATGTGGTATGTGTGTGTGTGTTTGTGTGTATGAGTGGGACATGTGTAGGTATTCATGCCCACATGCATGCAGATGCCAAGGGAGGATGTGTAGTGTCGTGCTCTATCATTTTCCCCCTTATTCCTTTGAGATTATTGAGAGAGAGAGTCTCTCTCTGAACCTGAAACTCCCTATTGCATCTAGACTGCCTGGCCAAGGAGCTCTCAGAATCTACCTTTTTCTGAGCACACACCCAACCCTGGGGGTTATGGATATGAGTGACTGGGATTTGAATTCATGTTCTCACAGTTTAACAGCAAGTGCTCGTACCAGCTGAGGTATTTTCTCAGCCTCAAACATTTAATTTTCTTTTAAAAAATTGTTTGAGTTTTATAAACTCATATAATGTTTTGATCAAATCTGTTCTTCCTTTTCCATTTCTTCTCTCTCCTTCATTACACCTTGCCAGTATTTCTTAATTTACTGTCTTTGTTTTTAACCCACTGAGTCCAGCTAGTACGCTTCCTGTATGTGCATGGGTATAGGACCATCTTCTGGAGCATGGGTAGCCTCTCAGGGGTTGCATTCCTGAAGAAAACTAACTCTTTTGCCCCTGGCAGTGGTCAATTGCTAATAGCTCTTCAGGCAGGGGTGGAACTTCATGACCCCTCCTCCATCCATGACAGGATTTTGTCTGGCTTGTCTTGTGCACAGAGTCACAGTTACTTTGAATTCATGTGTATAATGGCCTGTCCTGTCTAAAAAACATAGTTTCACTCTAGATATCTAGTTGTTGAATATTTATTAATTTTAGAAGCCTTTACTAACCAACTACCCCCCCCCCCCAAATAATTGAGACAGAGACATGTTTATTTATTTAACAGGCATTAAACACAGTAACTGGGCAGGTGCATTTTAAACTAATTCCTAAGCTTGTCTGGCTACCCCCAGCCACATTCCCCAATATTACTTGCCAATGTTCATCCTGTCTGGGCTAGATCTGCTCCATCAGGCCACATCTTCTCTTCCCATCTTCTTCCTTCTTTTCCTCCTCCTGACCTCTCTTCTCCCTATCTCTTGGTCCATACCTGAGACTCCAAGCACAAGAACCAAAACCTTGCCTAATTCTCTTCTACCCAGATACAGGCTGTCCAGCCTTTTTAATGAACCAATCAGAGATAATTGGAGAGCAAAGTTTACACAACAAAGACCAGTGTAAGTGAGAATGCACTCTTCTGGACTGCAATCAGATCTTGGGACCCAGAATTTAGCATTTGTATACAGAACACCAGCCCAACCCCCAACACATCCATTGCCTCTGGTGCTTACAATCTTTCCCTCCCCTTTAATTTTCTTGTACTTTTTACTAATTTCCATGAAAATGTTTAATTCTGAGAGAGCTGAAAAAAATTTTTCCACTTCCTTGGGAAATAAATTCTTCCCCTATTTTATCAAACCCTTTTTCTAATTTCTGCTGATTACATTGCTTTATTTTGAGGTTTCTAGTGGTATATTTCAGAGTTTCATCTATATTCATTTCTTGCTTTCAGAAATCATGTAAAAATCTATGTTGCTTATCTCTAAACATTTGAATCTAGAGACAATGCATCTTCATTGTTTTTTAATATTACTCTGTCATAAAACTGATTTCTTTTTTATCTATGGATAAGTAAAACTAAGCTAGCCATCTAAAAGTATAAATACAGATCTGCAGGCTCACAAAGAGCCCTTTCATCCCCATCTGGAGCTAAGAAGAACATGTGATGTTTTTCATAGTTTCTTTTTTAAGGAGGGATTTTTCCAGGTTTCTCAATTCTTTCTCATGTCTGTTTCATCCCACTGAGCAATTGATTCATCATTCTCTGAAGCCATTAAGCCAATCTGATTGCTTTGTGTTACTCCCCAGAAAGGAAGATTAAGGAGACAAGCCTGGACAGTTACATTTTGAAAAGTAAGAATAAGAACTATTTCAGTGGCAGCAGACCAGTAGAGAGGCAGTCTAACTCACTTCTAGCTCTCCGACCATGGAATCCTATAATGCAGTGGACTGCAGAAGATTTTATATCTCAGTCCAATTTATTGGTAGCTCACTTGCTGCCTCAATAACCAGCAGTACCTCTGTGAACTATAAACTGAACAAAACAGAATCTCAATAACAACAGAAAAATACATCTTAGGGTCTATGCCCTCTGATTTTATGTCAAACCGTATGGGACTGCCACATTTGACCTATGAAAATAGCAATTTGACATACTTCAACCAAATAGAGAAATGAGACTTGAAAATTATTCATAGGCCAGAAGTTCCTGATATATTAGTTCCCAATAGTTTCTGATTGTGTTTGGCAACCTCAGTTCTCCCTATTACATTGCACACACACACACACACACACACACACACACACACACACACACAAACAACAACAAAAACCACAGATAAGGATATAGAAGCCAAGATGGAAAGAAGTGATGGGGGAACCTGAAGGTCAGAGGATAGCTGTAATAGACAAAAATAAGTATTAATTCATTAGCAAAGGGGCATCCCTGACATCAAGGGGCATTCTGTTACTGTTCTATGAGTTCCATCACTGTCTGTGTGGCAACCAGGCATCACGACAACTTTAGAATTTAAAAACAAATTCATTTAAAGAGGTTGTGTGTCTGTAGGAAAGTAGGATGTTCCCTTTACATTACAACAAGATAGAGGCTGTGTAGGTTTGGGTCTTGGCTTTGCCACTTGTTAGCTGTGTGACTGTGGCTGTTTCTAAATGTTTTATGCTTTGCATTTGTTAATTTTTTTACATTTGTTTTTTATTTGTGTGCATGTGTGTGGGAGTGCACATGCCATAGAATGCATGTCAAATCCCTAGGATAACTTTCAGAAATTGGTTCTTTTCTTCCACCGTGTGGTTCATCAAACTTGGGTCATTCAGCATGCCAGCAAATACTTTTAGCCACTGATTTGTCTCACTAGCCTAGGCTTCATTTCATTTGTCTGTAAAATTGAAATAAGTAAGCCAGATCTAAATGCATTTCTTTGTATTTAATTTTTCTACTGTTACACCCGTCCACTTCTGTATTGACCATGGACTGTGACAGTGTGTAGGTAGAAGTTGATTATGACAGAAATTGCATCATCTACAAAGCCTAAAACTCTCTGATCATTTCCAGAGAAATTTTGTCCATCCTTGATGCTGTACATTGTAGGTAGTCAATAATGATAAGGGAAAATAAAACTGCTGACAAGACCTAGTTTAACAGATTAACACATTATCAAATGAGGATTCATATCACAGGCTCAAGGACATATAACAATGTTTACATCTAGGAAAGACTATGAGGGACACTGACAAATAGGCTTGAAAGCAAGCTGTTTGTCTTGCATTCAGAACTCATCTTAGCCTGAAGATTCTGAGAAGGAGAAAGATGCACTGAATTATGGTCTAGAATGAGGAACTGATTTAGCACCTGAATTTCTTCTACCTCTGCTCTGCTTGCAGTTTCGGTACATCTCACCTCCATGTCCTCCACTATCATATCCAATCTCTTCGGTGACCTGCAGTATGGGTCACTCCTCTAGAGTTATCAACATATTAAATGACCCCTGGACCTTTCCTCTGGGCTTTGATCATTTCTTGTCAGTCTCCATGAAACTCAAGATATGCCCCGGCAGTAACAGTTATGGAGCATCAAAGGCAATTTACCTATTTTGTTTTATTTAGTTAGTTAATGTGCCATGATTCACTTGTGGAGGACAAAGGACAACTCTTAGGGTGTTGGGTCTGTCCATCAACCATGTGAATCTTATGAACAGTACTTGGGTTGTCAGGCTTAGTGGCCAGCACCTGCTGAACCCAGGGCAATTTTTGAAAGTTAGTATTTAAGTAAGATGCAAAAGACTTAAGTAGGAGCTCTAGAAGACACACTAAAGCAAAAGGCATGAGCTGTACTCTTAAGGGTCCTGCCTTGGAGTCAGAGTCATAAGACAGTCTTCTGAGCCTGTAGGAGGATGTTTTAAAAACCAATATTCATAAAGGCATTGGCATAGAGGCACCTAAGGACTGACTGTTTTAGGCTCATCTTTCATCTTCTTTGCTTTTGCATAATTTTCATCATTTGACACTATTGATTGAAATTTCCTACTGAGAATTCGAACTACATTAACACTCAACTGAATAGCTATAGAGGAGATTAGATTTTTACTAAAGGCTAGATAACAAAAGAAAAACAAGGGATGGGGAAAGAGGTCAGTGGATAAAGGTGCTTACCTCCAAGCTTGGTAACCTGAGGTCAATCCCCAGGAGGAAGAGAACCAACTATCAGAAGTTGTGCTTTGGCCTTCACATGCCATGGTACGTACACATGTAGTACCACCTCCGTGCACACAATAAATGATGTAAAAAAAAAAAATAAAGTAAGAGACAGAAAATAAATCTGCTTTAGGTTAAAGAAGGGGCAGCACAGAGGGTAAATCTACAGGAAAGTCCCTGAAAGAAGTTTGGAGCAGACACCTCCAGGATTTTACAATGATGGAAAACTCTTCAACTCCTAAAAGGTTCATAATTTCGTCTTTCAGACAAAATGCACATGCCCTTTTAGTCTGCTGTCCAAATAGTAATTGGAAAGTCATCATTTTATTTGAGTAATATAAAAGAGCAAAGCTTTTGTTTTAACACTTTCTCATTCCACAGTGTGGAGAAAAGGCATGTTTATTACTTCCCAAAGAGCTTGCTTCTGATTAGGAAACTTCCATTCTGAACAGTCAGCATGTACATGACATCCAGACCAGTCTTTCTTCTCTGCCCCATTAACCCTTTCCCTTCTACCTCCTGACCCTCCAACTCAAGTTTGTCCCCTTGGCCATGGCAAAACCAAACACAACAGAACATTCTTCCCCATAATCCTCTTCCCCATGTCTCCTTTTTTCACCCTAAAGCCTCACCTCTCCAGACCCCTTAGAGAGTGAATTTTTTGTGACAACTGACTTGTT